TGAAGCAACGAAATTGAATCATATAAACATAAAAGTGAATCGTTCAATGCAATTGTGCAATCGCGTTGAAAGAATTAGGATGGTTTAATATTTTCATTTTGAAGTGAATTGCGGTTCATCATTCAACACAAATGAAAGAGAATTGAACGTGTAAACACATGTATTGAATGATTCAGAAAGTGTTCATTGCAGTTAAAAAATATGCTCCTACATCGGGCCAACAAAAACTACAAAATGTTATGGTTCAGGAACGACTGCAGTTATAAGCTCCCCCACTACAAGTTCCCCATTAAATTCACGGTCTACATATGATTTTGTAGATACAAATATTCAATCTGCAAATTCAACATGTTCATCATCTCAAACATCTTGGTTCGTGAACTCACCAGACTATATTATTGAAGAACAATTTGAAATATTAACTCAATATTCGCCGACTTATCACACTCAGCCTAATACTCAAAAGCCTACACAACAGTTTGACCAATATAAATGCATCCTGTCGATTCTGCACAATATTAATAAGAAATAAAATAAAAATAGAAGATAACAAATATAGATTGGGTGTTTTATTTATGATACTAATTACCTTGATGTAATCTCGTAGTGCTATCCAGATAGCTTCACATACTTCTAGGATAAAAGAAGAAATTGTGCATCAAATTGTTCCAATGATCCAAAACAATCACCAATAGCAAGATGTTTGAGGACGATTTGCAATTTTATTCGTGCTGGTATATCTCATCACAGTACTTTCTTTCTAGATTAATGGAGTAAGCATTTTTAGAAGTTCTTCAAATTTTGTTTTATTCAGTCGAAGATTATATGAATCTGGATCCTCTTCTGCAAATTCTCTCAATAGACAGTTTGAAGCTCCCAAGGTCTGTCTTCTTAACACTTTCGTGACCGATCACGTATTTTTACGTTTTTATATTGTCATCAGTGAGGAGCCGCTCACGTATTTTTACGTTTTTATATTGTCTATAGCCAGGCGCCGCTCACGTATTTTTACGTTTATATGACATTACTTGCGGCTCCTGGCGTAACAATACGTAGTGAAGATGCCGGCCATTGACGTTATCCTAATTGTAT